AATTCTTCTTCTTCTTCTTCTTCTTCTTCTTCTTCTTCTTCTTCTTCTTCTTCTTCTTCTTCTTCTTCTTCTTCTTCTTCTTCTTCTTCTTCTTCTTCTGTCTGGGAGGCGCTATCTTTACTCTGGAGAGAGCACTTATTTTTGTGATGAAGTAGCAGGTGTTATTTGCATCATCTAAGAGAGACGGCTAGGGGAAGAGTCACGCATACCCTCCCGCTTAAAATAATTTATAATTATGGACTCAATGTGCCATTATAAGACTAAGTAATAGTATTGTGTACAATTCAAGAGGGCCTAGTGGTTTGTTTGTTTTAGTAAGCGTTTTACGGCACGTGCAACACCTGGGTCATATAGGTGCCGAAGGTTGGGGGTGTTACAAGAGAGTAACGTTCAAGTCGTTATCAAAGAATTGAGCTATTAATAGAACAAAGCTGTACTGTATATTTTTAGAAAGGCCTAGTCACCTGATGGATTCCATGACTTAACAATATTTCCCAGGACCAGCCTGGTTTCCATAGTCGGTAACCCGATTATTAATGTTGGGTCGCAGCTTGTCGAGGCGCAGATGGATAGCCTGGATAGACTCCACACTCGTTGCCTTCACATCATTAATCATTCCACACTGTGCCGTTAATCCTAGGCCTCCCGGGTTTCTGGGGGCCTAGCGTTAATCGAAAAAAAAAACCCAACACGTAAGTGGAGAATCGATCGAGTTCACAGCCTTGCTTTACCACAAGTTCGACCGAGAATCTGTTAATAACTCGACTTTTGTTGCTTGGTAGTATGTATAGTTATTCAATTGAAAACAAAATCAGTATTTGTTGCAGAATGGCAAACATTATATTGTGCCCCCATCCAACCCCAGCTCTCACTTTTTAAATAAAAAACAACTACAAAACATCAAAGAACAAACAACAAAAATAAAAACTAACAAACAAACAAACAAAAAATAAGAAAAAAAGAAAACTAATAGACACGGGTTTGGTTTCGTCTGGAGTCTCTCATTAAACCCTTTGCTTTTGCTGATAATGCGCTGTTGAAATTAACATTCTCTCCTGTCAGTGCCTGCCTTTAGGTGAGGTAGCTATGGGTAAACTACAGCCTGCGGGCTAGAATCGGCCTGAGAGTAATCTCAGTCCAGCCTGCGAGCCGACCAGTCATGAAAAATTAATGTGAACTGTGATTAGTTAATAATACATGTATTTGAAAACAAAATTGTTTTTCTTTAAAATAATCAAGGCTAACAGTTTCCGGATTAGCTGCAACTGATGGAAGCATTATTGTTGATCTGATACTTTTATCTCATGAAACGCCATTGAGTGACACTCTGTATAGTGTTAAGTCTAACTTTGAGAGTTTGGACATTTAAACCGATTTAACGCAAACTTCTCGCACTTCGGTATCTGAATGTTTGTCAACATTCTTTTTCTGAAGGGAATTGTTTCTTATTGAAAATGGAAACTGAAAATCAGATTCAATGTTCTATTTGCCGAACGTTTTCAACGTCATATTATGGGCTGATGAAGGGAACACAACTTGACTTTCGACGATCGTCGAAGTAGGCACTGCACGAACCCTTAATTCGTTGATTGTTTTAATTAATAATAGTATGCTTCTGCCAGGAGGCTGGGATGGTAGGAATTATGAAGTGCTGGCCAATACATTAGAAAAAAGCACAATTAAGTTATTAACTGATCAAGCTAAAATTGATTAGTAACTTGAAGAAAAAATTCTGTACGTGGAAGAAAGAGATAGTTTAACCAAAAAAATGAAAAATTAATGAAAAGAACAAGAACAACAAGAACAACAACTACAACATTATTATTATTATTATTATTATTATTATTATTATTATTATTATTATTATTATCATTACTATTATTATTATTATTATTATTATTATTATTATTATCATTATTATAATTATTATTATTATTATTGGTCACATCCCTATTTAGACGTACTCTACTTTGTCTGACTTAAAATTTCAATTGCGTCAATTGGGGCGTATAAACATTTATAAATCTATTTGTTTTTTATTATGCTTACGCACTTCGTCTTCAAAAGCTGACACCGCTGGTGGCAAAACATTGTCGACTAGAGTCTAGCCACAAACCACATGACCTCACAACAGTAACGTGCATTGCTGTCCTTTTACTTTTTGCACCCCTCTATATTCATTCTGCCCCGTTTTCTTTTTTCATTTTTACGTTCTGTTTTTTGCGGTTTGTCCTTTTTTTTCGTCTTGGCGGCTGTTATTTGCAACTTATCAATCGTGTTTGCCAAGTGACTTGAGGCAATGCAACTTCTATAACTTATGGATCTTTTATACATTAAATAATGATCACCAGTGTCTGTTGAGTCGCAGGAGACCAGAGTTCGATTCCCGAGTAGGGGGGAAATTCTTAACACTAATGTCTGTCTTTCTGCTGGGATGTTGTATCCTTCTCAGTCAGCCCGGGTCGACTCTGACAGGCGGAGTCGGAAGCCCGCCTCCTGGATGATCTAAATTATACCGAAGGGGACGTAAAAGTACTTACTTAATACAGAATGAATATAGAACCATTAAGAAAGTCAGAAAGATCTCTGGATATGATTTTATATGAATGGATGAAATGTATAACACCACACGTATAAAAAAGATAAAAAGCATTATAAACGACCCATCACACCCCTTTTCCACACAAATTGTAAGATCACGCAGTGGCAGATATGTACCTCCAAAAACAAAGAAAGAAAGATATGAAAGAAGTTTTTTACCATCTAGCATAAGGCTTTTGTCAGAATGAGCATAGATGTGTGTTGCTCTTAGAGTATGTATAATATGTATATAACTCCAAAGGTCTAGTATTTAAATTCCTGCATGTGGTGGAATGAGGGTGATCCCAAAAAAACTTTTCAACTTGTTTTTTTAAAATATCTTCCTCCATACTGAAGTATTGCGTTTCAGATTTGAACTCAACATTTGGAAGCCAAAAAGAATTTGTCTGATATGTGTTTTAGATAAGTCCATTGAATGGTTTTGCTCTATACAGCGCATAAAAAACCCCCATTTTCAACCTTGACGCCATTTTCATAGCATGACGCACCAGTTCGCATTAGGCCTACCACTAAAAGTTGCAACAATCGCGACATATCGCAAGCTACAGCAGTCTAACAAGTCAACAGAAGTCTGCAGATATTATTTTTCCCAAATTTTGTTCGCCTACTTAGATCATGGTTACGTTTAGTAAAGAGCAGAGAGCTTTTTGTATTGAACATTACCTCTCCACAAACTCACCATCCCTGACATTCCAGAAGTTCTGCGCACGGCATGGAGAGAATGCTTAGGTGCCCTCAAGACCTATGGCGTTTTGAGTAGAGAAGTTCCGTCAGTTTGGATCTATAGCGAATCATTCAAACATGACAACTTGAGGTTGAACATGCACCATGCGCGGCCCATTAAATGTCACCAGAGTTCTGATTTCAGTAGCCGAGTCCCGTGAGACGTCTGTCCGTAGATGATCTGCAGCTAGGACTTTCCTACACATCAGCGGTCTGCATTCTCATGGCTGATCTTAACTTAAGACTATACCATGTTCATCTTCGCTATGCCGAGATGACATGGATCAGAGCATGGAAATATGTTCATTATTCCTCTATTGTCTTGTAAAGAGGGATCATTTCCTCGATGACATTTGGTTTAGTGCGAAGCCCATTTTCAGCCTGCGGGATATGTTAACTCCAAAAATGCTGTCTATTGGGCACCCCACTCTATTGTCTCTCGAAGCCACTTCTTAGTGAACTTGTACAGTGTATGTGGCTTTAAAAACTCATGGTTTAGCAGGTCCTTGTGTTAGTGCGCCACTGAACATTTCGAACGACGAGTTAAAAATGTGTCGAGTCCAAAGGAGGGAATGTGGAGCACTGCTTCTAGGAATTTCAAAATGAAATCATTAGGTTTTTTGAACTCTGTAAAAAAATTTGAACATTGTTAAAATGTCACAGGGATGGAAAATTAATGCCAAAGAGAAAATAAAGGAAAAGTTAAACTAATCTTTTCACGACTTCCTTTACAAGATTTTTAAACATTGGTGAACTTGGCGTTTTTTGGTGCTTTTTTCTTTTAGCCGTTTCCGTTTTCAAAACATGTTTCTTCTTCGTGGATTTTATATCAAACAAATTCCTTTTGAATGAATTATGGCTGTTCCAAATTACAGCATTCTAAAACAGTTTTTGTGCGAGATAATTCAGAAAAAAAGTTGTAAAGTTTTTTTGGATCACCCTGTAAATGTACATTTTGTCAGCTTTACTTCTCCTTTCATATTGAATTTTAATGAGAGTAATATATTATATGATTTACATTTTTTAAATGTATACCTGCATGTGTTTTTACGGTCCTGTACAGCCAAGGAAAATTTCCCTCTGGGATAATAAAGTACTATCTTATCTTATCTTTAAAAAAAAAATGAGAACAAATAAACACACAAGTACAAAACTGGTTATCAAAACAGCAGCGGCCCATGCTAACAAAATCTTTATTGACAACATTGTTCAGGGTGCAAAAAGTTATCCGCGAAATGACAACTCTAAATTTCCTAATACAATAGTAGCTTTCCCACTAAAATAAAATATCTTAAGCAAACTTGTTCAAAGAAAAGAAAAGAGTTAGGCAAAGTATTAAAAAAAGCCATTGTTCACGCCACAAAGTATGAAGTATTGCATTTTGGAGAGTTATCCCTTGCGCTATTGTTCTAAAAAAAGAGAAAGTGAGAAAGAAAGAAAGAGAGAGAGAGAGAGAGAGAGAGAGAGAGAGAGAGAGAGAGAGAGAGAGAGAGAGAGAGAGAG